GGTCCCGATGGATGAAAGTCAGTGTTAGCTGCACCACGATGGAAGGGACCAGCATGAAGACGATGGTCAGCGCCATCCACACCTCGTCCTCCGATCGGCCGTACTCCGCCGACATCCAGCAGGCGGCCGCCGTCTCCGCACAGAACAGGAAGGTGGAGAGGAGAATGCTGACCGGGGGCCTGCTCCGGGACCGGGCCGACACGAAGTCCTCGACTCCCGGGGGAGACCTGCCGGCCTCCTGCACGTCATCCATCGTCCGGGGAGAGCGATCACCGGACCGCGTGGAGGGAGATCGGCGGCGGATCACACCACCCGGGGCACGGAGCCGATCACATCGCAGGGGGGATCGTACGAGGCATGGGGGCCCCGAGCTGTCATTGTCCGGTGTCCCCCCCTAATGTACACACACAGAGCGACCAAGACCGCAGCCGGGACTTCCGATCATCACCCTCATCATCCTCGTCCTCCTCCTCACACGTCTCCTCCGCTGATGGGAGGCAGCAGGTGTGTCCCTCCCTCCGCCGGGTCCTAGAGCCTTCGGATTAGATCCTCACTCTGCTCTGCAGCTCAGCTGTTCTGTGCATGACTGCGGCACCAACTGTCCCTCATGTCACATGACCTCCTCAACTGTCCCTTTTCCCTTCCCCTCCCTCCTCAACTGTCCTCCGTTATTTCCCATGGCCTCCTTCTCACATGTCCCCAATCAGTTCCTGTGCCCCCTCCTCAACTGTCCTCCTTTATTTCCCATGGCCCCCTTCTCACATGTCCCCAATCAGTTCCTGTGCCCCCTCCTCAACTGTCCTCCTTTATTTCCGTGGCCTTATTCTCAGCTGTCCCCGGCTTCAATTGCCCTTCATTTTCTGTTCCTCCTCAGTTCGGTTCCACTATCCCTCTTCAATTCCCTGTCCTCCTTTACTGCCCCCCTCAGTTCCTGTGTCCCCGGACCCTCAGTCCCCGTGTCCCCGGACCCTCAGTGCCCGTGTCCCTCGGACCCTCAGTTCCCGTGTCCCTCGGACCCTCAGTTCCCGTGTCCCCGAACCCTCAGTTCCCGTGTCCCCGGACCCTCAGTCCCCGTGTCCCCGGACCCTCAGTTCCCGTGTCCCCGGACCCTCAGTCCCCGTGTCCCCGGACCCTCAGTTCCCGTGTCCCCGGACCCTCAGTTCCCGTGTCCCCGGAACCTCAGTTCCCGTGTCCCCGGACCCCCAGTTCCCGTGTCCCCGGACACCCCAGTTCCTGTGTCCCTCGGACCCAACTGTCCTTTAGTTCCTGTGTCTTCCTCCCTCTCCTCGATTTTTCCTCCTGAGGCTCGCACCCAGGCGACAGCTGGTGGGCGGTTGTCGCAGAGTTTTAAATGCATAGAGATGTCTATGGGACCCAAAACGCACGACAACCAAGCGAAAATAGCTCCTGCGCCTTTTTGTGCGACATTCAATTTCGTCCGCGTGATAAATTGCCGAGGTGTGAACCTAGACTCAGTTCTGTCCTCCTGCTCAACTGTATCTCCTCAGATCCCCTTACCCCGGCCTCAACTGTCCTTGAATTACCTTGTCCTCCTCAGTTACCCCTCCTCAGTTCCCCTGTCCCCCTCCTCAGTTGCCCCTCCTCAGTTCCCCTGTCCCCCTCCTCAGTTGCCCCTCCTCAGTTCCCCTGTCCTCTTTTCTTCTCCTTTTCTTTCTCAGTTGCCCCTCCTCTCTCCTGTGCCTCGGGGCTTTTACATGGACACAACATGCTTAGAATACATGAAATGCTCATACAGTCCTATGGGAAGGTTGTTGAAATGAAAGGTCTGGTGACAGGTTCTCTTTAACACTCCGGTCTGGAAAAAACGATTTACCATATAGAGGATGTACCCGCTCCACGTCCCGTATTGCCCCGGGGCAAGTCAAAGCCCCTCTTCCTGGGGTCACAGGGGTAAGCAGATGCCAGCAGGCATGGCCTCCTCCCATCTTTATTAACAATGTTTTTGTTTTTCCGTTACACCGCTCTGCGGCCTGTAGGATGTGGGAGTAGAAGCGCCGCGCCAATTAAAATAGTCCATTAGGGTCCGGGGGACATTGAAGTAGAGTAGCTAACGCATTTCAGGGGTCCAAAACACACCCCCTTCATCAGGGCTTAATGAGGGAAATCATGTCGGTGGACTACAATTCCTGCAAGTTCAAAGTTGTATTGAGTTATGATGGGAGGACTTCGGGGTCACCAGCAGCTGGTTTGGCAGCTTTATAGTCGGTCACATGACTTCTAATGGAAGGTCTATTGGCTACAGAAGAGGAAATCTACTCCCCGGGGGGTGGAAGTACTTGTATCCATGGCAGCAGAAGGCTATAGGGTTATAATCATCTTCTCCTTCCTCTTTTTTTTCTCCTCCTTGTTCTCCTCTTCCTCCTTCTTCTCCCTCTCTTCCTTCCTCCTCTTCCCTCCTCCTTTTACTCCTCGTACTCCTTCTACTCTTTTCCCTTCCACTCCTTTTCCTCCTTCGTCTCTTCATCATTCCTACTTCTTCTCTTCCTTCCTCCTTCAACTTTTTCTTCTCTTCCTTCCTCATCCTTCTACTCCTTCTCTTTCTTCCTTCCTTCCTCCTTCTACTCCTTCTCTTTCCTCCTTCTACTCCTTCTCTTTCTTCCTTCCTCCTTCTACTCCTTCTCTTTCTTCCTTCCTCCTTCTTACCCTCAGTTCCCGTGTCCCCGGACCCTCAGTCCCCGTGTCCCCGGACCCTCAGTTCCCGTGTCCCCGGACCCTCAGTTCCCGTGTCCCCGGACCCTCAGTTCCCGTGTCCCCGGACCCTCAGTTCCCGTGTCCCCGGAACCTCAGTTCCCGTGTCCCCGGACCCCCAGTTCCCGTGTCCCCGGACACCCCAGTTCCTGTGTCCCTCGGACCCAACTGTCCTTTAGTTCCTGTGTCTTCCTCCCTCTCCTCGATTTTTCCTCCTGAGGCTCGCACCCAGGCGACAGCTGGTGGGCGGTTGTCGCAGAGTTTTAAATGCATAGAGATGTCTATGGGACCCAAAACGCACGACAACCAAGCGAAAATAGCTCCTGCGCCTTTTTGTGCGACATTCAATTTCGTCCGCGTGATAAATTGCCGAGGTGTGAACCTAGACTCAGTTCTGTCCTCCTGCTCAACTGTATCTCCTCAGATCCCCTTACCCCGGCCTCAACTGTCCTTGAATTACCTTGTCCTCCTCAGTTACCCCTCCTCAGTTCCCCTGTCCCCCTCCTCAGTTGCCCCTCCTCAGTTCCCCTGTCCCCCGCCTCAGTTGCCCCTCCTCAGTCATTATGTCCTCTTTTCTTCTCCTTTTCTTTCTCAGTTGCCCCTCCTCTCTCCTGTGCCTCGGGGCTTTTACATGGACACAACATGCTTAGAATACATGAAATGCTCATACAGTCCTATGGGAAGGTTGTTGAAATGAAAGGTCTGGTGACAGGTTCTCTTTAACACTCCGGTCTGGAAAAAACGATTTACCATATAGAGGATGTACCCGCTCCACGTCCCGTATTGCCCCGGGGCAAGTCAAAGCCCCTCTTCCTGGGGTCACAGGGGTAAGCAGATGCCAGCAGGCATGGCCTCCTCCCATCTTTATTAACAATGTTTTTGTTTTTCCGTTACACCGCTCTGCGGCCTGTAGGATGTGGGAGTAGAAGCGCCGCGCCAATTAAAATAGTCCATTAGGGTCCGGGGGACATTGAAGTAGAGTAGCTAACGCATTTCAGGGGTCCAAAACACACCCCCTTCATCAGGGCTTAATGAGGGAAATCATGTCGGTGGACTACAATTCCTGCAAGTTCAAAGTTGTATTGAGTTATGATGGGAGGACTTCGGGGTCACCAGCAGCTGGTTTGGCAGCTTTATAGTCGGTCACATGACTTCTAATGGAAGGTCTATTGGCTACAGAAGAGGAAATCTACTCCCCGGGGGGTGGAAGTACTTGTATCCATGGCAGCAGAAGGCTATAGGGTTATAATCATCTTCTCCTTCCTCTTTTTTTTCTCCTCCTTGTTCTCCTCTTCCTCCTTCTTCTCCCTCTCTTCCTTCCTCCTCTTCCCTCCTCCTTTTACTCCTCGTACTCCTTCTACTCTTTTCCCTTCCACTCCTTTTCCTCCTTCGTCTCTTCATCATTCCTACTTCTTCTCTTCCTTCCTCCTTCAACTTTTTCTTCTCTTCCTTCCTCATCCTTCTACTCCTTCTCTTTCTTCCTTCCTTCCTCCTTCTACTCCTTCTCTTTCCTCCTTCCTCCTTCTACTCCTTCTCTTTCTTCCTTCCTCCTTCTACTCCTTCTCTTTCTTCCTTCCTCCTTCTACTCCTCTTTCCTCCTTCTACTCCTTCTCTTTCCTCCTTCTACTCCTTCTCTTTCTTCCTTCCTCCTTCTACTCCTTCTCTTTCTTCCTTCCTCCTTCTCTTCCTTCCTCCTTCTACTTTTTCCATTTCTTCCTTCCTCATCCTTCTACTCCTTCTTCCTTTTTTTCCTTCCTCCTTCTACTCCTTCTCTTTCTTCCTTACTCCTTCCTCCTTCTACTTTTCCTTCTCTTCCTTCCTCCTCTTTTCTCCTTCTTCCTCCTCTTCCTTCCTCCTCTTTTCTCCTTCTTCCTCCTCTTCCTTCCTCCTCTTTTCTCCTTCTTCCTCCTCTTTCTACTCCTTTTCCTTCACCTTCTTCTACTCCTCCATTTTCCTTCTCCCTCTTTTACTCATTCTCCTTCCTCCTTCTTTCCTCTTCATTACTATTATTATAATCATTTGTTTATCATTTTTAACGATGATCTGAATCCCAGTGAGATCGGCCCGTGTGTGTTTTCTCTCTTGTATAATGAAACGATTTCCTTCCGGGCCACAGAGCGCTGGGGGGCCCCATGTGACCAGTCTGGAGTATTGGTACCTATCATCGGTTCGGTCCTCTTAGGCTGAAACTTTTAATTGGTTGCGCAAGTTGTATCATTAATTAAGCTCTGTGTGCCGCCATCTGCTTCACCTAATCAGTGCGACAATGTTTCCGACCCGCCGCAAACCTGAAAATCAGGTTCCTTTGTTTACCTAAAAGGCGTTCCTATTTAACCCCTTCCTAATCCCTTGTTATGCCGAAGTAGCACGAACACATTCTTTCCTTAGTTTTTTATTTCTTTTTTTCAAAGAACTTCATTTTGTATTATAAAAAATTGTTACATGTTTATTTTTTGTATTATAAGAATTGTTACATTCATAGTTGGTTTTGTTTTTTAATTAAAAATAAAATACACATATTAAAATTCTCTTTTTTTTTTTTTACTCACTGAGC